ATTGTGGCCCCCAGGCATTGCTGACAGCATCACGACAACAATTTTGGATACTAAAAGGAAAGAACATGGCCAGAAGCATTGTGCAGAACTGTGTAAAATGCACAAGAGCCAAGCCCAAATTACTAGAGCAGATCATGGGAAATCTGCCACCTCTTCGAGTCACCCAAGCAAGGCCATTCCTCAATTCTGGAGTTGATTACTGTGGACCATTTAAAATCCACTATAAAATACGAGGAAAGAAGCCTAATATAGCTTACATAGCCATATTCTGTTGTTTCGCGACTAAAGCAGTACATTTAAAGCTAGTCAGCGATCTCACCACAGAAGCCTCTCGTCGAGGAAAATGTCAAGTGCTCCATTGCGACAATGCTACGAATTTCGTAGGAGCCAAGAACAAACTTCAAGAATTAGAAGAGGCCATATTCTCAGAAAAGGCAAAGGAACAAATTGTACAGGAGTGCAACAACAAAGGGGTACAGTTCAAATTTATACCTCCTCGTGCACCACACTGCGGCGGTTTATTGGAAGCTGCAGTAAAATCTGCAAAGCATCTGCTTTTAAAAAATGTGACGACGGAAAATTTAACATATGAAGAATTAGAAACGGTTATAGTCGAAATAGAAGCTATATTAAATTCTCGACCATTGACACCGTTATCTGACAACCCAAACGACGTAACAGCGTTAACACCAGGGTACTTCCAGATAGGAAGGCCGTTAACCGCACAAGCTGACAGTGAGCCATCCCAACAACCGAAGACGCTAGGAAGAACCGAAGACGATGGCAAGCAGTGTCCAAATTAAAACACTCATTCTGGACGCAATGGTCCATCGAATACCTCCAACAACTACAGCAGCGTCAAAAGTGGAGGAAATCGTCAGCAAACATTAAAGAAGGAACATTGGTAATACTAAATGAAGATAATACACCGGTATTACAATGGCCACTTGCAAGAATCACTGAATTATTTCATGGCAACAGTAAAAACAGCCAATGGAATCTTTAAACGAGAGATTCAACATGTTGCTCCACTTTTCAATGAAGAGGTACCCACACATAAACATCCGATTGATGATCCATCTGAAAATGGAGAGTCATCTGAAGACAGACAGCGTAGAAAAAGGACACAGCCGAATAGACTGTCGCTAACCATGACAATGTTTGTCATATTGTTACTGTTACCGTTAGCAATGGCGCAGTCAATCAACATAACCCAGTTTGGTTCAAAACCGGGTATATACTTCGAAAGAGTAGGAACCAGCCAACTTGCGACAACTGACTGGACCATCATTGTCTATTACAACCTAAAGCCCTATTGGAAAGACATGAACACATTCACCATGGGTACTTCAAAAATTGGACATTTATGCAAGCAACTTCAACAAGTAGACGCATGCACCAGCATGTATCAAGATTTCAAACATATAGAAGAGGACCTGCAAGCTGAAAATGCGTTAATAGCAAGGACACGGAAACAAAGAGCTCCGCTTACATCATTGGAAACATCGCAAGCAGTCTGTTTGGCGTATTAGACTCAACATATGCCCGTGAAATGTCGGAAACGATAGCAAAGGTTAAGGATAACGAGAATCACTTATTAACCCTGCTTAAAAATCAGACATCATTGATTGACTCTACAATTAATGTCATAAAAAGGGATGAAATCTCAAACTCCAAAAGACTAAGTCGAGTTGAGGACTTTATCACCGAGTCAAAAGGAAGAGCTGATCACTTCATTGCTTTTCAATGGTATATAACATTGTCGAGTCAATTGACTCTATTATCTGCAAACCTCCAACGAATGCAAGCGGAAATTATCAACGTCTTGACAGATATCCGACACAACACGATAAGCCCTGTGTTAATTTCGCCACGACAACTAAAGGAACCAATCGAGCAGATACGGGATCACTTAAAGCCGGGACAAGTTCTCCCAGTAACTCCTGAAAATATGTTAATGGTATATCAGATGATGAAAGCTGAAGGCACGATTATAGATGATCATGCAATCATCAGAGTTACGTTTCCATTAGTTTCAGCATACGAACTGGAAATCTACAAGCTGACACCTATCCCATCACCAACTGAAAATGGGATAAGTATGTTCGAAGTCAAGACACCATACATCGCAATCAACAGTCACCGAGACGAATTCGTTGAACTGTCAGAGAGTGATCTAAAAAATTGTCATCCAAGAGCAAACTATGATTTTGTATGCTATAATAAGCAAACAATGTTCTCAGCTGAAACAAGTTGTGAATTACAAATGTTCCACAACAAAACGGATCCATAATGCAACTTAATCAAAACAAAAAAATCATTTATATGGTTGAGTATGCATGGAAAAAATCAATGGATATTTTCAACAAAATCATCACTGAAATTATCAGCAGTATGTGCAGATGGAATATCGGATATCAAACTACAAAATTCAGGATTATTGATCGCAAAACCTGTATGCATCATTCCAAATTCCTTGATGACCGTAACAAGTCAAAGCACAATGGAGACGACATGGCATTCGTCATACGCTCGGTTTGGGAGAAAATGACATCAACAAAACATCAACTGAACGTCCGACAGATACAGCTTCAACGAACGAAGAAAATTTAAATTACAAAGAGCTGTATCAAATGGAAACAAGGCTGCTACCACCGAATAGTTTCAAGCTACCCCACAACCTTGAAAATATCGGTCATCACCATATTGCCATATACATTGCAATGATCTTCATAATGATCATTGTAATAGTTCATTTGGTCAAGAAATGGCACAAAACAAGGAATACCTCGCAGCCAATGCAACAGCCTACCACATCAGCGAATGGAGGCAACACATCAAATCAGCCGTTTACAATCAACATTAATGATGGTTGAACATACCATGGTCAACGGCCGGGAGGATGTACGATTTAGATTTAAACATCAAACCGTATGGTTAGACCTAAATTTATGTTTGTTATTAGGTAGTATGAATTCTCAGCAACCTAAATAAATATTCTCAAAATAACCCAATAAATATGAGATATGCACCGCTGACCTAAATAAATATTCAACAGACAGCTGGATGCACGTGCATGCATGCACATAATCTTGTTATATTGATAATACAGTCATAAATTACATTCGAGATGATCTGCAGTGGTAATAAAATTATCTTAGACTTGACCCACGGACCTTTGCACCCGGACCCATGCAGTGAAATTTTGTAATTATTGTTAAGTCATAAATAAATATAGCATGTTTCCATACCTACTTATACTTAGAACTAATTAAACAAGCCTATGATCCTAAGTAAATAATTGTACTAATAGAAACTGTATATATACCTCGCATTTTACCGAATAAAATGAGTACGAAAGAAAACTCTGACGTATTCACATCTCCGCAGCCCAATTTGTTCAAGTACCGATTGCGGCGACATTTTGTTACTGGTACATGAACCGGTGGCATACACATTTATATTTCAGCATACGATTGTCATATTGACAATCACTAGAACCAAGTGAATCTACATCAACAGATTCATTTGATTCGTACATCCGCCTTATGTGCGCTTGGCGTACTCAGTGGCCGGTGGGTTCGTTGCAACGAATTTGGGTGTTGCCCGGGGGACAAAGCAGAAAGACTTGGTTGGCTTCTTTATACACGAGTTCTTTATTGGTATCTTAGGAAGTAAGCTTAAGGACGACAACTTAGCCTATACTTTGGTTTAGCACTATGATCACTATCACTATCGGTCCTTCTCGACCACTCGCCGTTCCTCGGAATCCCCAAGCGTGGCACTGTCGGCTCTTAGAACTGGTACGACAACGATTCCTAGCGTTAGGCCCAAATCCGCCATACTCAGTTCGCACACGACACGTTCGCTCTCACTGGATCCTTCCGTTGGGCGAGCGGTACACCAGGTCCTTTCTCTTGACGCTCTTAGATAACTTTTCGACTTTCCTTGGTATTCGCCAATGCACGCACTTGCACTCTCCGCACTTTACTGTCTCGAGCCGCTGTCGCGCGCCTCCTTTTATTTCCTTGTTAGCGTACGGCCGCATCGTTGCTGCCTAGCAACAATGGGACTTTCCTCCAGGCGTCGGCGGTATTTTTCCATCGGCAAGTCTGATGCTCTCCACCTGCTTCGTAACGGGACCAAGCCGGTGGCGTGATCGCATGGCCATAAATGGTCGTGCGCTGGACCACTGCCGGCCCGATCCCATTATCCCGCCTCTCTTCCGAGCTCCTTTACTCTCCCTGGTAGCGCCCTCTGATCGCGGCTCTCTCTTCGTTGCCCCTCCCTTGAGCGAGACCCTCCCAGGAAATTCGCCGTTATCCGGTTATCCGGACAACCCGGATAGACCTTAACCCCTTAGGGTCCATGCGTGTGAGGATATCATTCCTCACACTTCCACCTTTCTTCCCTAACGGAAAACTCCCTTCTGCGTCCTCTTGTACCACCGGCCTTTAAATTTTAAATTCAAACGGCCGCCCGCGCTTTTAACCGGACGCGTTCTGGCGCCCTCTGCCGGACCGGGCGCGTTCTGACGCCCTTTGCCGGGCTTACCTGATGGAGTGCTGCCGGATCGGTGCAAATGCGCACGCGCGCGCGACTATCACAGGGCTGCATATACGCCATCGATATGATGTAGGGATGGTTTTCTGTTCTACTCGATATCGCTTTCTTGGCCGCGTGCGTACTCCACTTCCGCAACGAGGAATTGTTAATGGACGTTGGTAAGTGACTTTACAACTATTTTACACCGACCAGCCCTCTCACATTTCATCCTTTAGTCACCGGCTCGGATCGCTTGCCCTCACCTGCGTATCGACCACCGTGCGGTACCGTTACGGTACCTTTCCCTTCCACGGCCGCTCCATTCATCTCGGCCGTGGCTCGCAGGCCTCTGCCGCCGCTCTGCTACTGCTCGCGGTGGCTCCGCTCCTCCTCCGTGCACTTAAAGTAAGTCTGTTTTCTGTTTGTTTTCTTTCAATCTGTTCTTTATTACATTCTTACTGAGCCCCAGCTTCTCGGAACACCTCCTGGTGGTCCCGGGACACCGTCACCCGGTACCGGACCCCTCCGTCATTCACCAGCCGCTTGATGCGCCTCGAGGTGAACCTCGTTCGAGCCAGGACGCGCTCCACCGCCCCTGGCCACTCCTCCCGTCTCACGGGCCGCCAGCGTGGGCCCTCCGCCCCTAGCTGTGCCTGTGGCCACGACGCCTGGCGCTGCATGGGCGCCCGCGGTCTCTCCCGCTCCTCCGGACACGACAACTGCCGCTCCGGCCTTGGATTTGCGCGTCTGGCTTACGGCGCGGGCCACTTCCGCTGCTCCCAGGGCTCAGGTGAGCTTACTCCCGCCGCCAGAGTTCGCTGTTGCTGGTTCCGCTGCCGTGTCCGCTGCCGCCGCCGACTCTGCCGCCGCGCTTGCCGTCGCTGGCTCCGCTACCGCCGCCGACTCTGCCGCCGCGCTCGCCGTTGCTGGCTCCTCTTCCGCCGCCGACTCTGCCGCCGCGCTCGCCGTTGCTGGCTCCGCTTCCGCCGCCTACTCTGCCGCCGCGCTCGCCGTTGCTGTCTCCGCTGCCGCCGACTCTGCCGCCGCACCCGGCGTTGCTGGTTCCACTGCTGGTTCCGCTGCCGCCGCCGACTCTGCCGCCGCGCTCGCGACTGGCTCCGCTGCCGTGTCCGCTGCCGCCGCCGACTCTGCCGCCGCGCTCGCCGCTGCCGGTTCCGCTGCTGGCTGCGCTGCCGCCGATCGCCCCCTTGGGTCGCGGCCATTGCTCCGTCGGGGCGTCTCCTCCCACACCCGCGCTTCTTCCGGAGCCTCCGGCTCCCTCGGTGCCGGCCCCGATGCCCAGGTGATGTGGTGGATTTGGTGGTGCCACACCGTTCCTCCACGCACCGCCGTACGCACCTCCTGCGTTACATACGGCCCGATCACCGCGCCTTGTGGTCCCTGCCCTGCCACTGGTGTTGCTGCTCCTGCCACGAGGCGTCCGCTCCCGGCCGCTGTTGCTGTGACGAGGCTTGGGGCCCCTGTCCTCCTTCGGGGAACCTAGGCTCTTCCTCGGTCCGCGGCCGTCGCTGACACAGCTCCTCCTACTCCTCGTCCGGCGTGGCCTGGCCACGGTTTTCGGGCTCTGGTGTCGTAAGGGAAGGCTGCCACAGGCCCTCCTCCTCCTCTTCCGCCCGGCGTAGTCGCTCCTGCCACTCTTCTTCTTCCGGCGTGGCCTGGCCTCGGCTCTCAGGCTCCGGCGTCGGAGGGGAAGGGTGCCACAGACCCTCCTCCTCCTCTGCGCATCCGCCTCGCCTCTTCCTCGCGGCTCTTCTCCTCGGCCCTCTGCCGCTCCTTCTCTCGCAATTCGGTTGCAAACCTCTTCAGCATACACGTCCGGTGGTGCTCCTCCGCCTCTCGCCGGGCCCTTTCCTTGGCCTCCTCGGCCGCCTGCTCCGCCTAATGCGTGGCCTTCAACTTCTTCGCCAGCGCCTGCGCGTCCTCCCAGACCTGCCGCTGCCGCGGCGCCTCCTTCGCTGCCTCAAGCGCGATCCGCCGCCTCCACTCCGCGACCCGCTTTTCCTCGGCCTCTCGCTCCTCGGCGTCTGTCGGTGGCCGCGTCGCATTCGGTGGCTCCTCCGCCTCTGTTGAGGGCCGCTTCGCCGGCCGCTTCGCCACTGGTCGAGCCTCCTTGGGGGCCGGTTTCCAGCTCGTCATAACTGCACCGCCTCCTCCACGTAGTCGGGGAACTTCTCGGGTTCTTTCTTGATTTGGTCCTTCACTTTCGCTATCCACGCACATGGGGCCACCGTTTCAAAAAACCTCGACTGGTTCGTCGTCCACTCTCATAAACCGCTCCACCAGCGGCTGCCGGGAGAGCGCATCGGCCACCACGTTGAGTTGTCCCTTTCTATACGCAATCTCAAAATCGTACTGTTGTAGTTCTAGGGCCCACCGGGCGACTCTTCCTGTTGGGCTTTCGATGCTGTTAAGCCACTTCAACGCCATATGGTCGGTGACCACCTTGAAGTGATATCCCTCTAAGTACGGCTTTAACTTCCTTATGGCCCATACAATGGCCAGGCACTCCTTTTCGGTCGCCGAGTAATTCCTCTCAGCACTATTGAGCGTTCTACTGGCGTACGAGATGACTCCTCTCTCCTCTCTCGGTTTCCTGGGTGAGGATCGCGCCCAGACCGTAATCACTGGCATCCGTCTGCAGCACAAACTTCCTGGGTCTGCCACCAGTTGACCTTTTACAGCCTCAAACGCCTGCTGCTGCGCCTCTGTCCACACCCACTTCGCCTTCTTCTTCAATAGCGCGCTCAGTGGCTGTACCACTGGCCACGCCTAGATACTGACGTAGCTCCTTGAAACTGGTTGGGGGCTGTAGTTCGGCTATCGCTGCGACCTTCTCGGGGTCCGTGCAGATACCCTCCCCCGTCACCAGGTGTCCTAAGTATCGCAACTCTTGTAGGAAGAACTGGCACTTTTCGATGTTCAGCCTCAAATTTGCCTTCTTTAGACGCCTGAACACCTCCTCTAGATTCCGCCGGTGTTCCTCCTGGGTCTTTCCTATCACTATTATATCGTCCTGATAGGCAAAGGCATGCGGCATCATTTCGGGTCCAATCACCCTGTCAAGTGCGCGCTGGAATGTGGCAGATGCAGAGTGTAGTCCAAATGGCATCACCTTCCACTGGAACAGCCCTTTACCTGGAACCGAGGAGGCGGTAATATCGTCCTGCTGGCCACTTCCAGGGCAATCTGCCAATACCCATCCTTCAGATCTAGGCTGCTGATAAAACGAGCCATCACGATCATTTGACCATCACGATCGGCAAACTGTAGGGGCTCCGCGACGGCTCGATGCATCCCAGCTCGATTAGCTCGTCTACCTTTTGGTCGCAGGTTTGCGGTTTTAACTCAAAACCATAAAGACCTCCGACTTCCTATTGCATCCAGATTGTTCAGAGTGAAGACGGCGCTGGCGGGGCACCTGCTCTGTTGGCATTCCAGCCACACATCGCTGTTAGCGTTCCAGCTACACAAGCGGTCGCCCTCGCCCTCGCTCTCGCCATCGTTTTTAAGAGCATTTTTTCCCCCGGCGACGCGCGCATACTCACCACGCTTGCGCTCCCCGCCCACGCTCACGCTCGTACTGAACTATAAAAAGGCAGTCCACCGGCCATCGAGAGGGCAGTCAAACCACCATACGCGTCGTCAAACAATCAAACGTAACATAACCGTAAAGAAATCCATTAAAATTAAAAGAACCAAAAAGTGTTGTGATTTCTATTTCAGTTGTTGGCAAAGTTCCTGGTTTTCCGGATAAAGTCCTCGGGAATTATAAATAACTTGTAATTCAGGACCCTGGACAGACTGATGCATACCTCAGCCTGAGGACCTTACAAGTGGCGCTCAAGCAGGGACTTTAAAGGATTTCTCGGGGAAACTTCAATAAAACCGAAATCAGGGACTTCGTGGATTAAAGACCCACTGCCATCAAAAAGCAAATTGAATCAATAACAAGTCCGCGCACTTACATAATCCGGGCGCGAAAAAAAACGCGAAAGTATACGCAGTGCCGATCCTAAAAGTGCCGTTCAACAGTGACTCAGTGCCAAAAATCAACAGAAATCAACATGGAACATCACGACGAGGAACAACCAGAGGTGGCATACCCTGCGGGACACTTTACCAATCCAGGGGTCAGCACCGGCTGGATCCACAAACTCCGTCGGGACGAACTAGAGCCCTCGCGGAAGAATTCGGATTCGGCAGCGAAGGAACGGTCAATGAACGCCGAAAGAAATTTGCCGCAAGAAAGTCGCTGGGCCACTCGCGCAAGAAGCCTGGGTTCGCCTAGGAGAGTTCGAGAGGCACTATGCCAAGCCAGCCTCACGCTCTCGTTCCAAGTCACCACTGCCCACTACTCATGGACCATCCGACACTCGCCAAATGGATCCTAAGACCGGATTACGAGTCCCCGCAGCCACCGAATACCGCACTCCTGCAGCCCCGTTTCCAATGCCCCTAGCTACAGAGACCCACCCAGCACCCGGACCGAGGGTCTTGCCAGCGATCGACCGACCCATGGGCACCACTACAACCACGCTGCACCAATGGCGGAACGCATCCGAAAGTGGGGAATCCAGTTTGACGGCCAAGATGATCCTCTATCATTCATCGAGCTGCTCGAAGAACGCGCGCTTTCGTATGGGGTGGACACAAGCCAGCTGCCGCGGGCCATTGGCCGAACTTCTCACAGACCGGGCCAGCCGTTGGTTCCGCACCAGCCGCCTACAAAGTTCCTCATTGGAAAATTTCCGCCAGGAATTCTTAACGTTCTTCTTGCCACCACGGTATTTTGAACAATTGGAAGACCGGATCCGAGCCCGCAAGCAAGTGGCGGGGGAACTGTTCAAAGATTTCCTCATCGAGATACGTCTACTCATGCACCACGCTGGGTACGACGCAACCAAGGAGCTAACCAGGATCTACGACAACGCCCTCCCAGCCTACCAGATGTACGTGCGCCGCCACGATGAACAGCCGGGAACGATGACTGCCCCGACCCACGAATAAAATCCCCGCTACACATTAACGAGAACCGGATAGTGGCAATGGTAACCATAGGAGGACAGGCAACGGAAGCCACCGTCGACACAGGGGCATCCCGAAGCTTTATCAGTGCAAACCTCGCCCGAAAACTAGACATCAACACCAACCTGCAAGATGCATGCGTCCGCATACGCCTGGCCGACGGCTCGGTCAGAGAGATCAGCCAGATTCTACTGGCGCACATCAGGCTGGATCAAAGAGAAGTTCAAATACCCCTCCTTGTCCTACCAAACATGTTGGACCAAGTTATCGTCGGCATGGACTTCCTATGCGCCATTGAAACAACGATCCAGTGCGGTACCACACTTCTACAATTACGAGATCAGTGCCCCACACCACATATCCACACCGTTCCGACCAACAGAGCACAAGGCAACGAACCCCGACACCAGAAACCGAAGCCAACGGCGGCCGTCATACGTCCGCAACCTATCCCAACGATTTCGGCACCCAGCCACGCCAACATGACACCCATACAAACCTCAGCGAACACACGACCACGACCTACCCCAATGAACAAAACGACCCAGATCGCCACGAAGAACGCACTGGAACCCGGCGCTCGACACAGGAAACCCAGGTCGAAATCCAGCAACAGAGCATGTAAGTACCATCTCCTCCCAGGAGAAAGTAAACACAGAAACACCCTCAGAGACGACAATCAGCCCTGAACCAAGACAACAACATCGGCACCGACAACGGCAGCAACCGATCAACAGCCCAGCAACAAGGGAAACAGCCACGCTGACCCCACCCTGGTCGGGGCCCATAATCGAACTAATATCCACAGAGCCCCTCAACGCGGGCCCGGAGACCAGTACGATGGCCCCACGATACACCGACCGCAGCCCTGTCGTACCCACGGCCGACGCCACACCGATCCTCGCCCACACAATGGAGTACCTTCCGCGTACTGACATGATTTTTAGCGCCATGCAACGAGCCATGCCTAGAGCCATGTCCGAGATCTTTGTCGCCCACACAAGTCGTTCCTGCGATACCAGAGGCGTCATCGCGACTCAGCTGTTCACGTACCAGTCTGGCTGTAGTATAACACGAGTACTACACACGGCATACCAAATAATCATACCCATGGTCGACACCACACCCATTGTTGCCCACATAAGCGACTACCAACGGAGGATCGAAACGCCCAGCGCCTTCGATACAACCCTCTTACCCGAAGACCCCCGCCAACCACTTGGCCGACAAAATTGCCGCCGTCAAAGAACTCCGGCCGCCCACTAACCTAAAAGAGCTTCGTCAATGCATCGGGATGGCGTCCTGGTACCGAAGATTTGTACCAAACTACGCGACGGTCGTCCAACCGATGTCTCGCCTACTCAAGAAGGACCAACCATGGGTATGGTCCGAAGCACAACAGGCTGCTTTTGACCTACTGAAGACACTTCTCACGACCGCCCCCGTCCTTGCGTGCCCCGATTTCAACGTCAAGTTCTCGTTGCAAACGAGCAATCTAGGAGTTGGCGCAGTTCTCACCCAAGAAATCGAAGGCAAAGAACGAGTCATAGCATATGTCAGCCGACGACTGAACCAGGCGGAAGAAAACTACTCCGCTACCGACAAGGAGTGCATGGAGGTCATTTGGGCCATTCGAAAACTACGCTGCTACCTGGAAGGGTACCGATTCGATGTAATCACCGATCATATCGCGCTAAAATGGCTAAATACGCTTGACAGCCCATACGGTAGAGTGGCGAGATGGCTCGAACTTCAGCAATACCAATATGACGTGCATTATCGAG